CAGTGAGTCTGTCATTGGTGTAGAGGAAAGCTATTGATTTTTGTGTGTTGACCTTGTAACCAGCTACTTGACTGAATTTGGTTAGTAAGTCTAGAAGACTTTTGGTGGAGCTCTTGGGGTCTTCTATGTAGAGTATCATGTCATCTGCAAATAAAGACAATTTGACTTCTTCATTACCTATCTTTATTCCTTTTCTTTCTCTTGTCTAATTGCCGTGGCTAATGTTTCCAAAACTATACTGAACAAGAGTGGTGATAATGGACATCCTTGTCTTGTTCCTTATTTTAGTGTGAGGGATTTCAGTTTTGACCATTTAGTATGATAGTGGCTGTTGGTTTTTCATAGACGGCTTTTATCAGCTTGAGGTAGAGAATACCTATTCCAACTTTTTGTAGGGTTTTTATGATAAAAACCCTACAAAAAATGGATTGATGGATTTCGTCAAATGTTGGATTTGACAAAATGTTGGATTTTTTCAAATGCTTTTTCTGTGGCTATGGAGATAATCATATGGTTTTTCTCCTTGGCTCTATTTATAGAGTGTGTTACATTGATTGATTTGCATATGTTGAACCATCCCTGCGTCCCTGGGATGAATCTCACTTGATCAGGGTGTATGATCTTCTTGATAATCTTCTGCATTAGATTTGCCAGTATCTTATTAAGGATTTTTGCATCTATGTTCATTAGTGAGAATGGCCTATAGTTCTCTTTTTTAGCTGGTTCTCTCTCTGCTTTGGGGATCAAGGTGATGCTTGCTTCCAGGAATGAATTCAGGAGTATTGTTTCCCTTTCAATTTCATTGAAGAGTTTAAATAGTAGTGGTAGTAGTTCCTCTCTAAATGTTTTGTAGAATTCAGTAGTGAAGTCATCAGGACCTGGGCTTTACTTAGTTGGTAAGTTTTTAATTACATTTTCCATTTCACTGATTGATATTGGGTTGTTTAGAAATTTTAGGTCTTCTTCGTTCAACTTTGGTAATTCATATGTATCTAGGAATCTGTCCATTTCTTCTGTGTTGTTCATCTTATTGGTGTATAGGTTTTGGAAGCAGGTATTGATGACCCTCTGGATTTCTGCTAGGTCTGTTGTCATTTCACCCTTTTCATTCCTAATGCATAGATTTGGGCCTTTTCTTTCCTTTTTCTGA